CAGTAGGCGAGGGTCATGGGTCCTCTATGCAAACAAGTACCGCTTTGGGATGTTTAGCATCACTTTGTCTCCTGCTTGGTGTTGGACAAAGCAAAGATTCTGATCAGCGAACCTTTTCGCCCGCTCTTGGGCTCTGACGAGATAGCTCCGCACTATCTCCAAATTGCGCTCCCATTCCCTCGAGAAGTTGGCAGCTCGAGGAGATTTTGGCATGGTTAATACATTCACCGTTTGCAGGAGAAGCGGTTGATGTCCGATAACAATTTCAAAAGCGATTTTGTTTGTATTGGGGCTCTTTTGAGAATTGAAACACAGTGGAGCAGCATCCAAAAGCTTTACCCAATGTTGTTGTAATCCGATTGCAAAGTGACAAAGATATTCCTCCAGCATGTCATAGAACCGTCCCGTCTGGTCATCTGATGGTGGATGGAAGTTTGAGTTGTGACTCAATTTGGACCTGAATCACTTAAAGAGATGGGTCCAGAAGTTGCTAGTGAAGCGTGAGTCGCGACCACTAACGATGTCTTTGGGCAGGCCCCAATATTTGACAATGTGCGAGAAGAAGAGTCGAGATGTATCTTCTGCTAATATGTTTTGTGGGGCTACTATGAAGGCTGCATAATTGGAAAACCGATCTATTATAACCAAGATAGATGCAAGTTTTCGACTTTGGGCAATCATGTGATGAAGTTAAGGGAAACACTTTCCCAAGGTATTTCTGGGGCATGTAGTGGCTCCAAAAGTCCCGCTTGTGATGAGCGGTCCGACTTGTCCTTTTGGTCTGCCTGACGAGTCTTCCCACATCGAGGAGCGTCATCAGTCATCTAAAGTCGATGATATGACTTCTGATTCTTGTTGCAAAGGGTAGCTGGAACCATAGGTTCATGTCTTTTGACTCCTTTCATCAACTACATGGCCGAGATATTTTCAGCGGCCATCTTTATGGGCATGCATGGTATGATGCGGGGCTTGGCCCCATTTTCTCCCAACATCAGGAGCATGTTGGCATATGTTACGGGTATGGTGTGGGTTTGCCTCAGGAATTCCAATCCCTCTATGAGTTCGAAGTCATCCATGATTGCGACGCATAGGTTGAATCTTCCTTCATAAGGTCCAGGATTTATGGGCACTTCTTTGGCTATTCCACCCACTGGTTGGGGTGGTGAATTGATAGCCTTGACATGACCCTTACTCTTTTATACCACTAGACCGAGGCGCTTCACCTAGTCGAGACTAAGTAGTTGTGGGTAGCACTAGTGTCGATCATTGCCCGAATGGGTTTGCCGTTGACTTTCATTTCGACGAACATTAAGGTCCTCTCTTGGGTAGGAGAAGGCCTCTCATCCGCCTTCCTTTTACCTTTCTTGGCGATTGGGCATGAGTCCTTCTTAGGGATACCAACACTGGTTCCCGCTAAAGTATTAGGGATGGAACCAACAATTACATTGAAGGCACCTACTTGTTCTGCTTCGTCTGAGTCGTCATCTGACTCATCCTCAACAACCCGATGAGCGTTGATCTGTATCTGTAGGCATTCATTGTTCTAATGTGGCCCGCTGCAGTGGCGACATTCTGAAGGGGGTTTCCTCCCCTGATTGTTGTTGACGGATGCAGCGCTGTTGCTGCTTGAGGAAGGAGTCTTGGATCTGGTTGCACTTCGATCTCCCCCACTTCTGCTAGGGCCACACTTGCTAGGTTGGCTCCCGTTGTAACCCCCTCGGACAGGCGGCTGAGGCTATCCTTCTGAGTTTCCATGTGATAATCCCCTAGGCATTCAGTAGCTTGGATGGCCTTGGGGAGGGTATCTACCCTTTGTCTTTGCAGCTCCAACGGGAGTGAGGTTTCAAACCTTGTAGGAATGTGAAGAACTTGTCTTTGTCACCCATATCCTGTATGTTTAGCATGAGCGCGGAGAATTCCCGCACGTAATCCCGCACTGACTTGGTCTAGCGGAGTTCTCGTAGCTTTCTCCGTGCATTGTACTCCACGTTTTCGGGGAAGAACTGCAGGCGTATGGCTGCATTCAGTTCTGCCCATGTCTTGAGAGTATCTTCCCCGGCCTTGATGGCTTCGTATTTCACTCGCCACCAGAGCTTAGCATCACCCTGAAGATACATAGTAGTAGTTGCTACCTTTTTGGCTTCTTCCAACTCGCCTACGACATCGAAGTATTGTTCGATGTCGAAGATAAAGTTTTCCACTTCTTTAGCACCCCGAGCTCCGTCGTATGGCTTTGGCTCTGGAATTTTTAGCTTTTGTGGCACATGAGCGAGGTTCATAACACCCCTGATCTGATTTTCGCCTCCTCGAAGTAGGCTTTGTAGAGCGGCATTGACAACATTGAGTTCCCATGTCAATTGGTCTATGGTTTGCTGCATGGCAGTCACCATGTCTGCCTCTTGTTCTTTATGAGCTAAATCCTTGGCGCGCTCCTGTTGGAGGTCCTCGAATTGCCATAAATTTCGACTTCCTCTGTGGTTGCCGTTTGGCGGTCTCCTTCATAGTCACAACTCATGTTTTCTATGTCAACTTCGGCCTGGAGCATTCTGCGGTCTAGGTCGTCCAAACTTTGCACTAGGTTGGTTCTTAGTTCAGACACCATATCCACGATGGGTCGTAATACGTCAACCGTCTCTTCGAGGGCTGCAATGCGGTCCCCATGATTCACCATGGTCAGAAATGGTGGTAATGGAAAGATGATGCCTCGTCTGATGTCGAGCCTAGGCTCTGATACCAACTGTTACACGGCGCCTTCTTGAGGTTCCTTGGAAGGGCGACGTAAGGCTAAGCAACCGATGTGAGTGCGGTTTCTGTCCGCCAACTGAGGTCCCATCCGTACGGTAGACGAGATTGTCAGTGTCGTACGGGAAAACCAATGTCAAGAGCAATTGCAGAAATGGAAATGAGAATTGAGAATGAAAGCTTGATTGCATTAATAAAAGCTATTACAAAAGGCTACGCGGTGTCGAGGGAGAGAGACACCAGTACAGAGAAATGTTTGCTTGCTAGAAAGTTTGATTGCTTGAACCCCCCTAATAATGCTTAAAAAATAAACCAAAGTTACAAGACTAGAACTAGACTTAATTAGCTAGAGAAACATAATGGAAGTACATGAAATACAACAACTCTATATTTACAATGAAAATGACTTAGTTTTTTACAAGGCAGAAAATAGGTTTGTTGGTTGCATCTTTGTCTTTTGCGTCAGGGTCTGCGCGCGCGACACTATTTGGAGTCCGCGTGCGGCTGGCCGCTGGCAAGGCATCAGGATATGCGCGCGCGGCATTGTCTGTGCGCGCGATGCTATTGGCATCATCATGAACTGTTTTCCCGACATTGTCTATGCGAGCGGCGCTGTTGGCATCTGCCAGCCGCTAGGCGCTAGCGTGGGCTATCGGTGGGGCGATAGAGGCACATGCGCGCTTGTCACTTGGCACTGCCGAGACCACGGGGCCGACCATGGCGCTGGGCATTGGGAGGCTTGCCAGGACGCCATGGGGTGCGTTCAAGGGGTCATGGGGCATGGCTGGAAAGCTGCCCATGACAATACACATGCTATGTAAAAAAAAAACTCTAATTAGGGGAAGAATCAGACTTTTTGTGGCAACATTTAGTGGCGATTTATTTATTGCAACAAAAGCTAGACTTTTTGTAGCGAATCTAATTGAAGTATAGAAGGAAAACATAAGTGGCGAATTTTCTTAGGTTGCTTTTTATACATGCAGCTAATTGTCCATAATACATGAGACTACTAATCTATAAACTAAAAATAGTTATGTTACTGTTACGACCGGTTAAAGTACACTGAGCAATTAAGCTTAGATCTCACAAGAGATTTGAAACACTTATAGCTATAGTAAAAGGAAAAGAAAAGGAATACGAAGAAGAGATAGACATATACAAACTAGGTTCATGATTATTGGAAAGACAAAGGGATCTTTACTCAAATAGCCGGCAGATTGCCTATTTATTTTTTTAGACAATATATACAAATTATACATATATTATACATGGATTATACAAATATTATACATCTACGGTCTACCGGCTATTTTAAGTTTGAGCAGTTGGGCGGAGAGAGGGCGTTAATTCAATGCATGAAACATGAAGGACCAAAATTGATAGCACATATGCTTGTTGCCAGTGAAAAGGACAAGGAATGGAGTTTAATTGCATGAGCCCATCATTCTTAACATGAAGGGGCCATGGCTCAAGAAAATGGGTTGTTGCCCCATTTTCACAACAACTATTCTTTCTGGTCTCTGCACCCTTACAACTCTGATGGCGACTTCTGATATCGATTTTGAATATATTCCTAAAATTGAACTAGCAATAGTTGCATAGATTTTTTTTTGAAAAGGTCCTACTTTAATTATTAAGATTTTTATGTTTATTAGGCACATTCTTATCTTGTTGAGCGCTGAAAACGTTGGCACATTCTAATGTTGCTTCCTGAGATTGGCCAGGGCGAAGTGCACATAGAGCCGATTTCAAGACCCCATTTAAGCCATAGTCGAAGTTTCTAACTTTTACAAGTTTAAAGCAATGTTAGGCACGCAAATCTGAAATTTTGGCATACGTGTCTGAAAATTAGCTTGGCGAAGCCTAACTTAGGGCCCCATTTGGCCATGAGTTTTGCCAAAATAAATTTGGGATTATTTTCAAAACTCATGTTTGGCCATAAATTTTGCCCATATTTTGGCCAAATTCCAAATCTCAAATCTCAAATCCCAAAATCAGCGCCAAAATCCCAAAACTTGGGAATTATATACATGTTTTTCCAAAATAAAGTTGGAAATGTTAGAATTGAGGTAGAGGATTAAGAAGAAGGAGCAGGCAGAGAAGAAGGCAACAATGGAGAGAATTTTCTGTGTATATTCCACTGTACAAAACTGTATTTATGTACAAAGCTACTGTATAACCGCCCTTCTTTTCTCTATACGGTCCACTAACTAACTTGACATAAATAGACTAATCTACCCTTTGTCTATTTCACTAATTCAAGTTATGCCCTTATTCTCAACACTCCCCCTCAAACTAGGTAGTGTAAACACATCAAACACACCTAGTTTGGAACTTAAGTATTCATGTTGAACCTTGGTTAATCCTTTTGTTAACAAGTCTGCCTGCTGCTCTCTTGTACTGATATATTCTGTTTTGACTAAACCTTGTAGTATTTTTTCCCTTGTAAAGTGACAGTCTATGTCTATGTGCTTTGTCCTCTCATGGAAAACTGGGTTAGCAGCAATTTGTATTGCTGCCTTGTTGTCACAGTAGATGTTCACAGGAAGCTCTACTTCAATCCCAATTTCTTTGATCAGTCCAACTAGCCATATAAGTTCAACAACAGTAGCTGCTAAGCTTCTGTATTCAGCTTCTGCAGAGCTTCTAGAGACAGTTGTTTGCTTCTTTGACTTCCATGAAACCAAGGAATCTCCTAGTTTGATCAAGTATCCTGTCACAGACTTCCTGGAGTTCTGACAAGCAGCCCAGTCTGCATCACAATAGGCTTCTAAGACTCCTTTACTGCTGCTTGACAGTAGAAGTCCCTGTCCTGGATGGTTTTTAACATATCTCACAATCCTTGTAGCAGCTTCCATATGAGAGCTCTTAGGTTGCTGCATAAATTGGCTCAGTGTTTGGACACTGAATGCTAGATCAGGTCTTGTCATAGTTAGATAAAGTAGCTTCCCTATCAACCTCTGGTACACCCCAGGATCTGGTAACAGCTCATCAGCTTCATTGTTTGTTGTTCCAATGTGATCATCAAATTCTTTTGTAGTTAGCTTGATATTCATTTCCAAGGGTGTTGCTGCAGGTTTAGCTGCACTGAGTCCAAGTTCTGAGATAAGCTCCAATGCATATTTTCTTTGGTGCATAAGAATGCCTTTCTCAGATCTTGCAAATTCTATGCCCAGAAAATATTTCAACTCCCCCAAGTCCTTCATCTTGAAAGCCTTCTGTAATGCTGCTTTGGTGTCTTCAATTAGCTTCGGCTGTGACCCAGTAATCAACATATCATCTACATAAACAAGTACTACTGTTATGCCTTCTGTGCTCCTTTTTACAAATAAAGAATGATCATGCTGACTCTGAATGAAACCAAAAGTGCATAAGGCTTCAGTAAGCTTCTCATTCCACTGCCTGGGAGCCTGCTTAAGGCCATATAAGGATTTAATGAGCCTACATACTGGTTGTGACTCCCCTTGGCTCTTGAATCCTGGAGGCAGTTGCATGTAAATTTCATCGAAGAGATCTACCTGCAAGAATGCATTGTACACATCCATTTGGTGGATGTGCCAATGTTGAGCAGCAGCTATAGATAGAATAGTTCTGACTGTCACCATCTTCACCACTGGAGAAAAGTTTTCCTGATAGTCAATGCCTTCCTTTTAACTATAGCCTTTTGCAACTAGTCTTGCCTTGAATCTTTCTATTTCACCTGATGCTTTGTACTTCACTTTATATACCCACTTACAACCAATAGGAGTCTTACCCTCTGGGAGTGATACAATGTCTCAAGTATGGTTGCTTTCCAGTGCTTCAATCTCAGATTTCATAGCTTCCACCCACCTAGGATCTTGACAAGCTTTAGCAAATTTAGTAGGTTCAGCTATGGTAGAGAAGGCAGCTAAGTATGATTGATACTTTGAGGACAGTCTACCATATGACACATAATTTGCTATAGAGTATGGTACTGAGGAATGCACATTCAGAGACACAAAGTCTTTCATCCATATAGGTGGACACTTCTCTCTAGAAGATCTCCTTACCCCATTAAGCTGGTTGTCTGCACTGTTTGGATGAAGACTTTGATCTTGGGATTGCACTATATGTGGTAATACAGTCTGCTGAGTCTCCTCTGAACTTGCTGCTTGGTGAGTCTCCCTTTGAGTTTCCTCAATGCCATCAGCACTGAGCATATCATCAGTAGAGGAAGGACTATCAGTGGAGATTTGGAACATTGGAGCCATGGTCCCTGGTGCAGGAGCAGGAATATAGTCTGATTCTGACTGTGGAACAAAAATAGGAAGGTGCTTTGATTTAGAATGTTGAAAGGGAAAGACATCTTCCCTGAATATAACATCCCTGTTAACAAAGAAAGTACTGTTAGTGAGATGTAAAAGAATGTATCCCTTTTGTGTTCCAGAATAGCCCATTAACACTGCTGGTATTGCCCTACTCATAAACTTGTCCTTTTCTTGCACATTCTTTGCATAGCATAAGCACCCCAGAACTTTAATGTGCTTTAATGAAGGACTTCTGTTGTACAGCTTCTCAAAGGGAGTTAATCCACCTAGAACTGGAGTAGGCATCCTATTTATGATATACGCAGCATTTAACACACAGTGGCCCCAGTACTTGAGAGGAATATGAGCTTGGAATCTCATAGCTCTGGCAACTTCTAGGATGTGTCTATGCTTCCTCTCAGCTACTCCATTTTGCTGAGGGGTATAGGCACATGTTGTTTGATGAATTATTCCAAACTCCTTGAACAAATCTGCACATGTTGAATTAGTGAATTTTGTGCGATTGTCAGTTCTGATCATTTTGACACTACTGCTGAATTGATTCTTCACATAGAGCAAAAAGTATTTCAGCACCACACATACATCTGATTTAATTTCAAAAGAAACAGCCAGGTCATTCTGGAAAAATCATCCACCAAGGTTAAGAAGTATCTATTTCCATCAAATGTAAATACCCTATAGGGGCCCCATACATCAGCATGTAACAATTCAAAACAATGAGTACTTTTAATATTGCTAATAGGAAATGGAAGTCTAGTGTGCTTAGCTAAAGGACACACATGACAACTCTTCACTACATTGACACACTTATCATGTTTTATTGTGAATAGTTTCTTCAGAATCATAGGAGGAACATGTCCTAATCTTCTATGCCATAAGCTGATGTTGTCTTCTCCTTTATCCTTCAGTTCTGTGTCAACTCTTTCAGATTTATTGACTGTCAAGGCCTTCTCAATATAATTCTCAGCTTCCTGTAGTCTTAGGATGTATAGCCCTTCTGTTTCCTTACCAATCTCCTTCACCTTCCCATTGTAAAGATCCTGAAATAGGCAAAAATCAGAATAAAATGCAATACAACACTGCAGATCCTTGGTTAACTTTGACACTGAGAGGAGATTGTATTTGAACTGTGGGACATAAAGAACACTCCTAATTATGCTCCTTGCTGAGATTGGACAAGTACCAATATGTGTAACTGAGACCACATCTCCATTAGGTAAGTGTACTTTTCTAGGACTATTAGATTTAACTTCTTCAATATTGGATAATGCTCTAAGATCAGAAACCGTATGATTAGTGGCCCCTGTGTCAATTATCCATACCTGAGAAGGTTTATTGGCAGTATCTACTAGAAAAGCATTGCTGATACCTGTTGCACTGGTCATATTTGGAGATGTAGATGGTCCTGAACTTTTGTTTAACATTTGTAGTATTTGCTCATATTGTTCCTTTGTGAAAGAACAGGCTATGGGCTGTTGAAAGTTACTACTGCTGGTGTTTGAAGGTTGCCTCTGCATCATTGTTTGTGGTTGAGTCTGCATCAGCTGACCCTGCATCTGTGCGAAGACCTGAGCCTGCACAAGGTTGTTCTGGTTTGGCTCATTTGCTACTGCATTGTATACAGATGCTCCCCCTTTCTTCTTGAACTTAGAACCTTGTGGATAACCATTGAGTTTCCAACAGTTCTCTCTACTATGACCTTTCCTTTTACAGTAATCACAAAATTCATTGTTGTTTCTCCTAGGTTTTTGGTAATTTCCAGTTTGTTGAAAGTTATTGGACTGAAAGGTATTAGGCTGAAAGCTTGGTTGAAAACCATTAGGTCTTGTGGCAAGCAGTGCAGTTGGTTCATAGTTTTCAGGTATAGCATTAGATTGTAAGCTTAAATTCATTGCTGTAGCAGCTATGGATTTTTGACTTTCATCACTCATGATCATGGAATATGCCTTATTAACTGAAGATAAAGGGTACATCATAAGAATTTGGTTTCTAGCTTGGAAATAAGACTCATTTAATCCCATCAGAAATTGATATAATTTCTGCATTTTCATATGATTCACATAATCCCTAGACCTTTCACAATCACATGGAGCCGGGATTAGTGCTTCAAACTCATCCCAGAGATCTTTCAATTTTGTGTAATATTCAGAAACAGAAGATGTACCTTGATACAGTGTTGCTATTTCCATATGTAGATTGAATGATCGAGAGCCATCAACTTTATTGAATTTCTCACGAAGATCTTCCCACACTGCCTGTGCATCAGATCCATATACTACTCCTCCAAATAATTTCGGAGTTACAGCATTCATGAGCCAGGAAAGTACTATTGCATTGCATCTTTCCCATTGCTCCCATAGATTTTCATGAAATTTCTTCTTTTTCCATGTTCCTTCTACAAGCCCTAGTTTATTCCTCCCGCGTAAAGCTATTCTCATCGAGCGATTCCACAGAGTGTAATTGGTCGTACTTGTCAGCTGAAAGGAAATGAGTTGTGCTCCACATGTATCTGAAGGTCCGAGATACAAAGGGTGATTGTGCAGCAAATCAACTCCAAATTCATTGCAAGCTTGAACACCAATACTAGATCTACTTGTTCCTGTAACTCCAGCTCCAATTACTTCCGGATTTACAGGTGTGTCTGCAGATGTATCTCCCATGGCTGCTCTGTTTCACTTGCTTGAATTTTTGAGAAATTGATTTCTTCGAGTTCTGAATCCAATTACTCTTACTCTGTTCCAGCTTCAATGGCAGCTTAGATCGAGTCACGGATCTCTAATCCCGCTCTGATACCATGTTAGAATTGAGGTAGAGGATTAAGAAGAAGGAGCATGCAGAGAAGAAGGCAACAATGGAGAGAATTTTCTGTGTATATTCCACTGTACAAAACTGTATTTATGTACAAAGCTACTGTATAACCGCCCTTCTTTTCTCTACACGGTCCACTAACTAACTTGACATAAATAGACTAATCTACCCTTTGTCTATTTCACTAATTCAAGTGATGCCCTTATTCTCAACAGGAAAATATGTTTTGAAAATGTATGTCCAAACACATTTTCATCTTCAAACCAAACTTCACCCAAATCAGATTTTTCAAAATAAATTTGGGATCTATGGCCAAACGCTAGCTAGATAATAGCAAGTAAACTTCGAACATTTTTGCCTGAAGTTCAAGGATTGATAACTAAAGTTCATGCATTTTTATATGATCTCTCGGATATCCTTCTTTCTCTAGTACGAAATATCAAAGACATTTGATAATATGTCAATTAAGAGTAGTTTAAAAAGCAAATCTTCATCTCTTCCAACATTTTTGTATACGGCCAAAATCGGATTCGTCCACACGTGAAAGATCGGGCTCGGAATATGAGGGACTGAAGATCGACCCCAAGTTCCACCGGGCCGGAACTGAGATCAAAATGCTTGTTTTCGAGAATATTGAGTCCGTGATCTTGGAATCAACCCTGACACCGAACGAGCTCGAGGATATATTGTTAGCGTATCAATAGAAGGCTGAAATATCGTGACCGGTCAGATATTACGGCGGGAATCTCTGCATGTATCAATAAGGAACCAGCAATCAACAAATCAAGAGATTTTTAGTTTTTTACCTTTTATAGAATTTTACCTAAAGTAGGACTCCCCTACTATATAAAGGAGGTCGGATAATTCATTTAACACATTTTACCACGCATTCCAAAGCAATACATTATTTTTCTCCTTAAGCTCTTATTCAACTGTGCCTTGATACCGATGGAAGTTCATCCATTTCGAGGGTGGCCAACCCCCAAGACCGTAAGTGTTCAATTCGTGTGGTTTGAATTTACTTTATATATCACTTTTTATTTTAATTGTAATCTATTTGTCATATTATGTCAAGTTAATCCACGTATCCTTAAAACCACTTACAAACTCAATTGTCATCCGATTTTGGGGGTAAAACAATTTTCAACCTTAACTTGTCAACGAACTCACTTTTCATAGTTTGAAATCTAAGACCAACTTTAAGCTTGCATCAATGATGATTTTTAGATGAGTTTTAATTTACTTCATGAAATCTTGTATATAAGAGATGTTGGAAGAAGAAAATAAGCATTTTCGGCAATACCTACTTGAATTAAACTAGAAAATAAGCGTTTTCGACAACACCTATTTGTACTTACTATTCATATTTGAAATTCAAGACTCGCTTCTTCAAGCTTGTAACATTGATAATATAAATTAACTGGCTACAGATGCAAAAAAAAATTAAAAGGTGGCTGCGCCTCAAATGATGCTGCGCAAATAGGCTGTCTGTGCAAATTCTCCTTCGGCCCCGTACAGAGAGAATCTGGACCATTGTTAGACGGAATTCAACCGAAGTTATGGGGAGAAATTTAAAGGGATTTTTTCCTAACTATACCATATAGGAAACCTTATTACCAAATATGTGCATAGTATGTATATTACCCGCCCAGTCCACAGTTTATCTACAATTTATATACCATTCGTTATTTAGGCAGAATCTGCCATTTTTACCGCGCGAAAAATCAGCCACAAAATCTGGGATTGATTTATTCCACATTAAATTCAAAATTTGAAACGGAAACGAGATCTCGAAGCTGCGTAATTTTGAAACGGAAAGGAGATTTCTGTTCTTCATCTTCATCTTCATCTGTTCTTCCATATATTTTCCACCATTTATAGCCATTAAAAAGCTTGAAAGCTTTGAATTCAAATTTGGTTTTTCAAAAATCATTATTTGTTTGGATTGGGTGTTGTTCAAAATAATTTGGAATATGGTTTGGAGTTTATATCTCAATTTTGAGGGGTTTTGGCGAAGATTAGACTTGGTTTTGACTGAATTCAGATAGAAACTCGAAGAAGAAGAAGAAGAAGACATATTTCCAAAAATTGTAGATAAATTGTAGAATTGTAGATAAATTGTAGATAAATTGTAGATTGGGAAGACTAAATCTTTTACAAATCTTCTACAATTATGTCGAAAATGCCAATAATGCTACAATTGAAATGGGAATAAATTCAATGTATCCAGTTTGTAGATATCTTGTAGATAAATTGTAGATTATTTGTATTCTGATTGTAGATGCATTATTTTCTGTTTTCACAAATCCAAAACGACTAAAGCTTCTACAAAATCTTCTGCAAAAAACAGTCTACAATTTATCTATAATTTTTCTATTTTTTCTACAATTTATCTACAATTTATCTACAAAAGAAGGTATATTTTGTTTATGAAAATTAACTATAGATCTGAGTGCAGTTCTTGGAAGTAGAAGACAAAACTATAGAATGCACAGACATGTGATGAAGGCATTCTCATTCAAAGGTGTAACTTACCATCATAATAAAAAATAAAATACACAAAAACTTCGAATACCAATATTTGAATCTCAGCGAAAGCAAGCAAAATTAGGTAATTTGTTTCATTTGCTGTGATTTGCATTAGCCGGACACGACAAACAGGAAGAAGAAGCAAAGAAAGAAATTCATAACTTTTTTAAGTTACGGCTGAAGGGTCAGAAAATAATTGCACCCTTAATTATAGCGCCTAATATAAAAGCACCATTAATTATATCCCTAATTTGAATTATGGTATATAAATGGTAATTTGGTATACTGAAATGTAATTAACACAAACCTTAAACATTGAGGGTAATAAGGTTTCATATATGGTATAGGAAGGTAAAAATCCCAAAATAAAATAGTCAGATTTACAACTGGTCGTTCAAAAATAGCCCAATATCAGAAGTAATCGAAATTTAGCCACTTTTTATGTAAAGATAAGTCTGAGCGAAAACACTATCCAAAACCCGAAAAATACTCCAGTATATTATGCTGGAGTTCCAGCATAAGTATACTTGAACTCCAACATATTATACTGGAGTTACAGGATAAGTATGCTGGAACTCCAGCATAATATGATGGAGTTCCAGCATAAATACACTAGAACTCCAGCATAATATACTGGAGTTCCAGCAAGTATACTGGTGTAGTATAATATACTGGAGTTTGGAGCACCGGTGCTCCAGTCTCCAGTATATTATACTGGAGCCAGCAAAGTATACCGGTCCAGCATAATATGCTGGAGTTATATACAGGTGCACCGAACTCTAGTATATTATGCTGGACTCATCTCTATTGCAGCAAAATAATGACTATTTTTCATTGACTTGGTAAACGCTGGCTATTTTTAAATGACCAATCCAAAAACTGGCTATACCGTGCTATTTTTACGAAGTTATGAGTCCTTAAGCCCAGTAGTTTGTAACCTATTTGATACGAACCCTGTATTTTTCTTACATCCTAGACCATTTTCAAACTACAGTCTCCACTTTTTTCATATAATATCTTGGGTTAGGTGCACAAACCGTCATTCTTAGGATGTTATTTTGAGATTAGTCAATATTTATTTTGTCATGAAATTTGAATTAAAAATCTTAAATTCAAAATAATTCCAAAATTGAAATTCATAACACTGACTAAATTTTAAATAAACTAAATAGCTGGTGTCATTTCTACCATTATCTTCGTTACTTCAAAAACTGGATTGCTAGCAAATGCAGATAAGCTGGCCGATTTTAGGAGCGCCACCTAGAATAATATTAGGTTGTTATCTTCTATTTCCTTATTACATGAATAAACAAAAGTTATAATTTAAAAGATAAAATTGAAGCTGGAGATAACATACATCCTAGTTCGGACCATAGGAATAGTCTGGGTCGAGCACCAATTCATGATTTGGAATTTGGACAAAAAGAATTATTCATTGAACAACCTAAAAGAAAAACAATACTCCTAATAACAAAAGAGCATCCCAACCTTAAAGCTTCTTGCTTCTTTTTTATATACTAGTCTTATGATACGCGGGTTGACGCGTACACTATCTCGATAAAAAAATATTAATAACATATTATATTTGATTTATAAAATAAAAGTATATGTTCTTAAAAATAATAATGTTGATCTTGTGTACCTAATTCAATAAAAGAAAAAATTACTGCATAAACGTTTTCAATCATCTGTTACTATATTCAATTATAAACTTATTTTAGTTTTATAATGTCATCAACTCTAAATTCAAAAATTATTATTCTTCCTTCCCAGTTTGAATATTCACACATAAACTTTAAAAGATTTATGATTTTAATTTTAAAATTCTAATTTAAGAGCTTTACCAAAAAATGAATTAAGTTGATGATATATTTGGTAATAAGAAGAGTTGATACGTCACTTAAGAAGAAGAAGAGTGAAAAGTTCTACTATTTGGTAAGAGAATATTTAAGTCAAAAGCGTGTTATTTGAATTAAAATCATTGGTTAAATATTTGGTGTTGAAGTAATAAATTCTAAAAGGAAAGAAATTATACATTAAGATCTTACTCGGTTCGACTTCTTAATTATATATGTTTGTACATAGTTCGAATATGGAAATATTTAATCAATAAATTTTAATTGATTTTGTAATCCTAAATATTAGGAAAATAATTATGACTATTCTTAAATATTAGAGAAATAATTTAATTAATATTCCTAAATATGAGATTATACATTAAAAACTAAAAGATAATTTTGTCCAGTGTAAACTCTATTTTTAAAGGGTAAAAAAGACGAACGATATTTCTTTTTGGGTAAATATCTGTTTCATTCCAAAAAAA